TCTTTATTTTTACATTAACATCAATTCTTGGATCTTTTAATAATGTTAATAAAATATGTTCATTCGTTGATTTCATCGTTGCAATATGTAATGCTGTATTTTTCTCTTCTTTATCACACATATTTACATCTATTTTTGGTAATTCTAATGCTGACATAATTAACATTAAATCAGAATTATTTGTAGCAATTATTAATGCCCCTGCTTTCTTTAAAATAGCTTTATCTGCTTTACTATCTCTTTGTTGAAACAAAAACATTGATATTTTAAATATTGGTTTTTGTTCATCATCTTTATTAACTTCATTTTCAAATTCTAATTCTTTAACATGATTAGTATTATATGGTAATAATTCTGTCATTGAAATACTACATCTATAATGTTTTGCTGGTTGTTTCTTTTCTGCATCAGTAAATAAAAATTGAATTTCATGTTCTCCCATTGGAATTTTTCCTATTTCAATCTTATTATTTGGTGTCCCTGGAATAGGATTATCTTTTCTGTTTATTTTAATTTTCTTCTTTTCTTTTTCTACTGAAATAACCAACTATTTTGTTATTCTTCTTCTTTCTTTCTTTTCTTATTTCACAAACTGTAGCTTCTCCACTTGTATTTTCTCTAACAAATAAATGCTGTCCTTCAAGAACTATTCTTTAAATCTTTCTTTTTCTTTTCTATTTATTATAGACAAACCTTCTATTCTCAATAAATTCGTTTCTGATCCTCCTTTACTCATATTTTATTTATTTATCTTTAATAGTTTGACTTTTTTTTTCTTTCTCCTATCTTTCTATATTTTATTATTCTTTTTACTATTCTTTTAGTTCTTTACAGAACAACTTTCTCTGAAGTTTTAACTTTTTTCTTTATGAAAAAAAGAAAGCAAAACAAAAATAAGAATAACACTTTACTTACCAGCCATCATCCAGCCATTTTTTCTGATTTAATTCCGCTGATTCTGACAAAGAATGCCCGACACCACTGAAAGGCTTAAATTCTTCAGAATCATCAGATGACTCCTCTTTTTTTATTTCTTCAGTTGTTCCACCAAAACAAAAACCAATGTCTTCATCTTCATCAGAACTATTGTCTTGTTGAGTTGAGGCATTTTCTGCTAAGTCGTTGCCATCAAAGTCAACTAAAACATCAGTCTCAACAATTGATACAGCTTTCCCCTCTGGTTTACATTCAGCAACTTCTAATTGATATTCTTTGTTGTTGAAAGAGATGCCAATGATATCACCTATTGTGAGAGTAGAATAATTTCTTAATTCTTTTTCCATAACAACACGATAGTTTGGAATTTTAAAGAAGTCAAAAACAAGAGGTTTTAATCTAATGAACTTTGCTTTTGGAAGATTAACTGTTTGAATGTCAATATAATCACCATCAACAAGACTTAATCTTTTCATTAACCATTGAGGTGCAATACACTCCCCTTCATTTGCAGTAAATTCTAATACCCCACAATGAGTTATAACGCTATTGTTACGATGTTTATTAAGTCTGAAGGTTAGGGGGTAAACAAGATTTAATGAAGCTACAAATAAGTGTTGATTTGATGGATAGAAATTAATCCAACAAACCCATTGAGGCTAGAGTTGAAGGTGGAAGAAATATTTTACCACTAAAATCCATTTGTTTTTGTTTGTTAGGTTGTCTTGAAGCAAAAGAAAAAACACGATAGGTAAGTCTAAACGTGTCAATACGTCTGTAATACATTTAAATGAGAAAAGAGAGTTCTTTATACTATTTTTTCTTTCTTTTTAAACCAGAACAATATATCTTTAAATTCATTTCAGAACTGGTCAGTATCTTTTAATTTCTTAAGAATCATAGTGTCTTTGGTTGTTGCCTTTTTACTTTTTTTTGTTATTTTCTTAAATAGTGGTTTCTTAATCTCTTTAACATAATTATCGCTATTTTCACTAAGAAGATTTTCCTCATCAACATCTACAACTATTTGTTGAGTCTTTTTCTTTTTAGAACTAGTCTTTTTTGAAGCTTTTTTCTTTATGGATTTCTTCTTTCCTTTCTCTTCAGCTATTTTTCTTTCAGCATATACATAATCCTCATCATCTAAAGTTAACGTTTCTACATATTTAAATGCTTCTTCAATGATTTCATTCATATTTTTTGAATGGTCATGTTGAATGATTGTCATTGCTTGTTCAATGTTTTTATTAATATAACATTGAATAATAGTACTAACTGGATAATTATTTTCTTGGTTATTTCCAACTTGTTCAATTACCTTTTCAATAGCTTTAAGGGGAATAGTTTTTGGTGTTTTTAGTTTCATTTCTTCTGCGATATATGCTTCTATTTGGGCTGCTCTTCTTCGAGCCAAGAAATCTTCATCCATAAAATCTTCATCAAAAAAAACATCATATAATTCGTCATCATCTATTTTTTTATTACTTCTCTTTTCCCGTTTTTGAATTTTCTTTTTTAATTTAATACAATCTCCTTTGTTTACAATGTTTTTCTCAAATTCAAATGCCATTTTTCTTAGATTTGGAATACACCCTAAGTTTTTGTATTCAATTATTATTCTTGCCAATGGTAACATTGTTTTTGAATGAGTGTTAACTTGATCAAAAAAATTTTGGACTTCTTCCCTTATATAATTTTCTACAAGTTCCAAATTAGCTGAACCTTCAATCTTTTGACTCATTTGAACAACTTCAAAAAAAACTTCCCTAACACTTCTCAATGCAATTTTATTCATATTAATTTTCATTCCATTAATATGAGCAAGTCCAATGAATTTTTCTGCTTTTTCAAATTCACATATAGATAAAGGAAATGAAGATCCTGTTTGAATGATTTGAACATTATTTCCTTCTTCTACTTGTGAACAATGTTCATGCCCAAAAACAATTAGATTAAATCGATCTTTAAGTAATTCTTCAGGGAATGTTGTGAGTGTATTTCTTAATATTCTGTCTTGATGAATGAGAAGAATTTTGAAGATATCACCATCTGGTTCATCTATTTGGACTTGAGATGATGCCCATAATCTATGCATTTCTTCATTCTTTTTATAACTCATTCCATATAATGCAATTCGAGTTGTTCCTTTCTGTAATAAAATTGGAGAAAGATGTAATATTGTTTGGTCTGTTGTATTATCAATTTTTGAAATATCTTCTGCTTTACCAATAAAATTAACAAGCCCTGCTGTTTGTAAAATATCTAATCCAGCAACGTGTTCTAATCCAGATGGAATATCATGATTTCCGTGAATAACATACATAGGATATTTAATGCCTTGGTTCATAGAGAATCCATTATCCTCTTGATTATTTTCGTATGTATAAGCAACATCAAATGAATTTTTTGGTGTACCCATTAAATATTTTCGCATTAATTCCATTGTTTTCGTAAGACAATATTTTGATGGATTTTGGTCATCAAAAAAATCTCCTGAATGAAGAATTAAATCAACATCTTCTTGATTTGCTTGTTGGAGTATTTCTTCAAATGCAAGATAACAATCATCATTTAAACAGTGAGACTTTTCACCTGCACCAAGATGAGTGTCAGAACAAATGAGAATTTTGAATGTGTTCGCTTCGATACTCATTTTTCTTTTTCAATGAGTTTTGTTTTTAAGAAAAAGAAAAACAATTATTCCTATTATTTTGTGTTATGAGATTCTTCATAATAAAAGGATTTATGAAGAACTATTAAAAAGGAAAAAATATGAACTTACAATTCTTTTTATGGATTCTTCACAAGATTCTCCACCTATTTCACTATCAACTGTTCTAAAAGAATATCCTCCAAACCCATTACTCATTTTTAAACCAAAGCAACGTTTGGATATTATTGCTCATACTGTTAATCGTATGTTTGAAGAACCTGACATAGAAAATAAAATTGATTCTCCACAACGTTTAAAGTGGTTCTTAGAAATTTTGGGTGCATCTTATTTACTTGATAAAGGAGCATCTGCATTTGCACTATCCACATTAAAACTTTTTCAACGATGGTTACAAACAGATAATAAACCAGCCCCAATGAAAACAAATTTCAATAAGTATTCAGATTATATATTGTATTCCATTTCAATGCTTTTTGATTTTAAAAGTAATCCAGATGTACAAATTTCTATTCAATATTTTGGTATTGATATTATAGCTTCAACTGCTAGAATAGTAACTGATGAAGCAACTAAAAGGTCATGTGTTCGTTCGTTAATGATTATTGCAGATCATGTTTGCGATTATTGTCCTTATGAAGGAATGACTTATAGAGTATTTAATGCACTACATGAATGTGTTTTACATACTGAACCAAATGCTATATTAGATATTTTCTTTTTACATTGTAAAAAATGGGGATTAAACCCTAATGCTGCAACACAATGGTGTGCAACTGCTGTTGCTATTCAAACAGGATATGTCAACTATTTAATTGAAGAACAGAAAACAGTTAAGGTAACACATTTACTTTGTAATGGAGAGTCTGATATTATTGAACTATCACCATCACGTGCACTACAATTTTGGCTTGATTTTTTAAAAGTTGCTGATATTAAAACTGATTCTTGTGATCTTGTATCATTATATGTAGAAGGATTTTCTGCACTAATGCATCTACTTGCAGATGTTCATGTTGAAAGTAAATCACCACATAGACCTGATGGAAACTCTATTTTCAAATTATATGGAAATTATCTATTTTCTGTGATTATTCGATTAGACCACACAAGATACTCTAAAGCAGTTGCAGAGGCAATAGCTGCCTTAATTAATTTCTTTGCAACAATGATTCGAAGAACTACTTTTGAAGAAAAGTATATTTATTATTTGACTATAGCATTAAATAGAACATTAACATCACCAAATAACACAGTAGTATATTCATGTGTTTCTAATATCAGTAAACTTCTTAATTATCCAGTAGGAAGTATTGCACTATGTCTAGAACCATTACTATCAAGTATTATCAAGTTATTAACATCAAAATTCCCTGTAACACCAACTATTTATCATGTATTTATTACTGCATTACACGAGTCACTACTTCCATTTACTTTAGTTGAAAAAGAAAAGTTTATTCCAATATATAATAAGATCATTTTAATTCTTGTTAAACTTGATTTACTTTCACCTGAAAACTTCCCATTACTTTTTGATTTTATTGGAAGTTATTTTTCTTTTGTTCTTCCAGTTGATAAGACAATAGTTGATTTTGATGTTGTTGCAATTAGAACTGATAGTACAATTGATAAAACAAGTATACATCATATTGTTTGGGCTATTTTGTATGAATCAAGTGTTCAACTACCAGCAGCATTATCCAATTCAAAAGAAAGGATTATTAGAGCTATTGTAAATGTATTTAGAGTGATCAAAGAATATATTTGCACAATATATAAGAAAAATGAATTTATTATTCAGACAACTAAAATGTTAATTGCTTTGCTTAATTCAATTGCCAAACAAGAAAATCCCATTTCTATATCATTAATTGTTGAATCAATGCACATATGTACTAGTTATATTGTACTTGTAGATGATATTAAAATAGCAACAGCTTTTATGAAAACAATGATTTTATTACATAACTTACGAACAATTAATTTAAAGAAATATGCAACATTCTTCATAAAATTGTATATAAATTCATTAACCAAGAAAGAAATTTCTGATGAAAATGAGATGGTTCGTTTATTAAAAGAAAATGGAGTTCAAAATCCAATGAAATATATTCATGTGTGTATGCTTAATGACTCATTTATGACACTTATTGATCTTCCATACAAAACAGATGCATTACATACGATTGTTATCCTAAGAGATAGTTATGGAAAAAGAGTTTACTCATTTAAAACAAATAACACTCTTCATTGTAGTAAGTTTGAAAATACTCCATACTGTGATAAACCATATTCAATAATACATAAATGGATCATTGATAAAGCAAGCTCTTCATTTTATGAATACAGTCCTGAACTATCACTAGAAAATATTATTAAAAAAGAGGCATCTGTAATTATTCCTTCTGAGTATTCAACACCTATTTCTATGCCTACTTCCATTCCTCAAAGAACACTTCCACCGGCTATTAACCCACTTGTTGGAGGACGTATTCTTCATGGAAATTTAAGTGCATTTGGAACAAAAGTATTTTTACAAACAACAGAACAATTAATTAAAGACTTGACCCATTTAGATCAAATACCATCTAAGACACGAATTTATATTCATATTCAATGTAACACAACAAAGGATGAATTTTTCTTAAGTTTTATTAAATCTTTAGGACAATACAGAATTTTCGATAATTCTCCTGTATTTGTTCGTAGTGATTTTAGAACAGAGTTTATATTTGATTGTCCTGAATTAACTCAATCAACTCCAAGAGAGTTGTATGACTATTATCTCTATTGGAATAAAAAAGATGAACAAATAGAAAAATTGGAATCAAATAGTATTGTTGTTCAACCACGAATTGCAGGTTCATTCACAATAACTCATTCATTTTCAAGTCAATTACAAACTTTTATTGTTCCATCATATTCATTATCGTATTGTATTTATGCAATGCTTATTTTACCTAAACTTAGAGATCCTGATTCGTTCTTGCAAAGTGTGGATAACCGTACAAAAGAAATTAATAGAATTTGTAAAAATAATAGAGAAATGGTTCTTCTTGAATGGATTTTATTCCTTGACCCTGTTGTTAATAAAACAACAAAGTTTAACTGGAACCCTGCCATTGTAAAGAAAGAACGAACAACTCCTTCATTACGTAAATCATTAGACTCTCTTCCTAAATGTCTTGAAACAAAAGTAGAACAACGAAGGTCAAAATCAAAAATGGAACAATTTATTGAAAATAATGAAGATATGGCATCATTATTAATTTCCCCTGACGACAGTCATGGCTCACGTCAAGGAAGTGTTGTTGAAATTCCTGATTCATTGTTAAATTCAAAAAATAAATCACCTTCATCAAAGTCACCATCTTGTAAATCACCACTATTAACTACCTCTCCTACTTATGAAACTGAGGTTAAATTCTTCTCTAAACCTGATGTTACAAAACAAAGAAAAGTTGCTATTGGGTCAATGAGAAAGTCAATGGTCTTTCTTCCACCAGCAACAGCTTCATGTCCTCCTGAACAACCACGTCAACCTCTTCCAAATGTTGGAAGAAAAACCTTTGCTATTGGTTCTCAAAGTGACAATAATATTACTGAACATAGTAAAGACACTGCAAAAATAAAACAGCCTTCCTCATTTGATCCAAGTGCTATTTTAAAACAAGCACAACAAGTAAGAAAAGTAGAAAAAGGATGTGATGAACCAAAGCAAACCAATACCCTTCTTCAACAACGACCAGCTCAACAACCAAATAACAACAGTGAAACTAAACGTGAGCCTCGTCTTCCACTACAACAAAGTAAAACAACCCATGGGTTTGTTGCTAAATCACCTTCTATGATTGGAACAAGCCCTAAACCCCGGCAAACTTTTACTAACTCAAGAAAGGCTACTGTTCATTTTAAACATGACAATAATTCAAATCAACATGATGAACAAACCTAATTTACTTTTTTAATGATTCTTTTATTTAAATGTAAAAAAGAAAACAAATAAAAAACAGTCAATTCAATCAAATATAAATAAAATAATACTTTGGAATTAACATAATTCCATAAAAATTTCAGTATTCATTGGAACAGAGCAATTATTTTGTTTCGTCATGAATGTATCATTTATTATTTTTAATGGGTCTTCATATAATATTAATGCCTTTTCATTAGATTCATTCTCATACGAATCATTAACTTCTTCACCATTTCTATCTGTTGGTTGGTGTTTCCACGAAAATAATGAACTATCTATTCTTCTTTTTGAATTCATGGAGTAATTAAACTCGTCAGCAACTCTTCTCATTTGGGGTTTGTATTGACAATACCTTCTTTTAAGCTCATTAATGTTGATGTTAGAATTTGATTGGGAGTTATGCATGTTGTTCATGAATGATTTTGTTAAGATTCAATCTTTCTTGTAAATTCACTAAATCTTTACGTCACGCCACGTTATAGTTTAATAACTAATATATTTTTTTATAATTTTACTATTATTTCTATTTTTATCACCTTAGGTAATAAGATTTTATTATTCAGGTTTTTTCAATAAATAAAGAGTAGAGTAGTAAAGGTTTTTTAGTTGTAGGATTTAATTTTGTATAGGAAGGTGTTACATTAGTCACCAGTCATTACCTGTTATAGTAAAGGTTTATTTTTTAGTTTAATAGTTTATTTATAAATAGACAATGAAACTGAAAAGTGATTTGATTCATTATTATGATTTATTAAATTATTTTTTTAATTAGTTTTTATTTCAATTTTTTTGTTTATTAAAAAATTAATATTATTTATTATATAATTATGTTACTATTTATATTATGAAACTTATTTAAAATCATCTAATAATTCATTTAAGTTATTTAGTCACTTTTCAGTAGTAATATAATAGTCTTGCATTGTTTTAATGTTTTAGGAGAGGTGTTTTTAAATCATATCATTAAATACAGTGAGTGTTGTTATTTAATTTATATCAATTGTTTTTCTTATTTAAATAGTTAAAACAACAAATTGTTTTATTGTTTATAATTGTTTATTTGAATACAACAAGTCATAGAAAGAACACAAAAACAATCTTAAATTGTTTATGTAGTTTTCTTCTTGTTAATTGAATGTATTGTATTTATTAATTGTACCAACAACAATTGAACCTTTTGTTATTTTTATCTACAATGGTTTTAGTGTTATTAATATTTTTCTGCGTTATGATATTAAAAGTATTTTTTAGTTATAACACATTACTCTAACTACATTAACCATTGTTTGGTAAAAGGTTATTCGTGTTCTTCTCAAATAGCACTAACTTTATGAGACTACATTTAGATATTCTATTGCGGCATAGTTTTATTACAATTTTTTCATACCATAAAATACTTTTCATAGTTTAGTCCAGTAAATTAAAATCAACAATTTGTTTATAAAAAAAAAATTAAAATAAAAATAAGTTACTTTTGCAAGATTTAAGTTTTTCAAATAAGTTTTAGAAGTAATTAATATAAAACCTTTTGTTGTGTTTGTTTTACTTAAACATTAACGAATAAACTTAATTGTAAATAAATTGGTTTAAGTATTTAATTATTTTAATGAAATCAATAGGATTGTAATAAAAAATAGAGTCCAACTAATATTTTAATTAACTGGTACTGAACTCAAATCAAACGTTTCAAAGTCATTCAAAATTATTACTTCTGCTTCAGTAAGTTGAGATGTTTGTTGATCAATATTTAAGAATTGTTGTGGGTGTTTGAATCTAACAGAAAAATGATTAAGTAATAAATAATCAGCATAAACACTTTCTGCACATTGAGCAGCTATCTTACAATTAGAATGACCCCATTTAATTTCAGAACTATTTCCGAATGTACATTCATGAACTAAAACATGTACTTTATATAAGAAACTCAAATCTCTTCCACATGTATCACCTAATACACAAACTACTAAACCTCTTTGGTCTTTAAAAACAAATCCATGACTTTCAATTTCATGAGGAATTTCTATACAACCTACAGATATCCCAGATGATAATGTAATTATTTTGTCATGGTCTCCTTTTGGTATTTGGTGTACTCTAACACTATCATTAATTGTTGATTTTGATATTCGTTTAAATGTCTCTATTAAATCATCTCCCCCCTCAGGTAAATATACATCACAATCATTTAATACCCAATTAAATAATAAAGCAATAATCCCAGACACATGATCCGAATGAAGGTGGGTGATTAGTACTAACTCTATATATTTAACGTTAATACCTAATTTGATTATTGTGTTTAATATTCCCTTGAAGTTATTAGTTTTACTTTTTTCTAATTTATAATCCTTATTAAGAACAAACATCTCCACAATCAATCAAAATGAATCTACCGTTTTGCATTTCTATTAAATTTGATGTTGTCTAATATTAAATGAGCTACTTATTTTGTTTACTTAAAACAATTCAAACATTTCGATATATGGTAGATTGTCCAGCTGATGTTCCTAATGGAATTAATTTTAACATTTTTATTTGAGTTCTTAGAATTTTAGTTCTTTCTTTTTTTTAAGTACAAAGACCATAATATAAAAATTACTTCCATTCTTATTATAATAGTTATTTACCTTTCTTTCAAATTCAGTAAAAGATTTTTGTTTGTTTAAACCAACTTATTTAATCACAAAAAAGGTTGTTAACAAATTTTGAGTTTATGACTTTCTTCTTTGAACTGTTATTATTATCATTTTATCTCCTCATTTAAATTTTATTTTAAAGTTTATTACTTTACGTATTCATTGATAGTCAAAACAACAAAAGTATCAGATTGTTTGGACTGATTTGTTAAGAAGACCATTTTTTATCAATATATTGAGATGATATTCTCTTATAAACAATTTTTAGTAAATTAACAAAAAACTAAATAACAAAAATTTTTAATTATTTAAAAGCACTTTTAGGAATTCTGTTGTTCTTTTTTAGTTTGGAAGAACAACCAAAGAAACATCCTTTTTCAAATGATGTTATTGTTGTTGGAAGATTAATAGATGTAAGCGAAGAACAATCATAAAAACAATGTTTTTTTATTTTGTTTATTGATATTGGAATAATAATTGAACTTAATGACCTACAAGCACCAAAACAACTACGCCCTAATTCACTAATTGTTGTGGGTATATTTATTGACGTTAATGATGTGCAACAGTTGAAACAACTATTTCCTAATTTGGTGATAGTTATTGGTATATCAATATCACTTAATGAATAACAATCTTTAAAACACTCATCCCTTAACTCATTAATTGACAATGGAAGAATAATACTGCTTAATGACGAACAATATTTAAAACATTCAGTTCCTATTTCAATTATTGTTGTTGGAATATTAATTAATTTTATTGATGAACATCCCATAAAACATTTATCTCCTAATTTAGTGATAGTTGTTGGTATAGTAATATTTGTTAATGAACTACAATATGTAAAAAAGCAATCTCCTAAAATACTAATGATGGTGTGATATTAATTTGTGTAATAGAATTACATTCATAGAAACAACTATTTCCTATTCTGCTTACTGTTGTTGGAATATCAATTTCTTTTAATAACCTACATCCATAAAAACATTCATTTCCTATTTCACTGACTAATATCGGTATTGTTACTCTACTTAATGATGAACATCCTTTAAAACAATAATTTTCTATTTTGCTGATTGATGTTGGGAGAATAATTTCCTTTAACCATACACAGTTACAAAAACACCGTTTTACTAATTTATCAATTGTTGTTGGTATGTTAATACTTGTTAATGATAAGCAATTCATAAAACAATCATTTGCTATCTCATTTATTGTTTTAGGAATATTAACACTCTTTAATGAATGGCATCTATCAAAACACCCATATCCAAATTTTGTAATTGTGGATGGTATAACAAACTTATTGATATCTTTTTTTTCTATATCTTTCCCATTAATTTGTTTTAAATTTTTTGGTATTTCGATACTAACTAACACTGGTTCATTCAAAAATATTCTTTCTTTACTGATATATTTCACATCTTTAATAGAAAGATTAGTTAGTGATGTACATCCATCAAAACAACTATCTCCTATTTTACTAACTGATGTTGGTATATTAATTTTTGATAACGAGTAACAATCTTTAAAACAATTATTTCCTAATTTACTAACTCTTCTTGAAATATGTATTTCAGTTAATGATGTACAGCCATCAAAACAATTGTATTCTATTTCACTAACTGACGTTGGAACGTTAATAAGTCTCAGTGATGTACAATCTTTAAAACAATACTTTCCAATTTTACTAACAGATGATGGTATATTAATTGTTGTTAACTCACAACAGTTATAAAAACACCAATTTCCAAGTGAATTAATTTCTAGTGGTATTATATTTCCATATTTATTTCTATCATATTCTGTATATTCGATATTTTTAAATATATTTTCTGTTTCTTTTTCTTTTAAATATTTTGAATAATCTACTTTATACCATATTATTTTTTTAAATATTCTTCCATCATTAAATATTTCATCTTCTTCATTATAAATATGAAATGTTTCAATATTAGTAAATAATTTTCTTGAATAATTATTTAAAGGAATTGGATTAAAATGAAATCGTTCCATATTTCCTTGAAATCTTTTAACTCCAAATTCTAAATTAATAAAATCATTAATATCATTAAAATACATTGATACTATCATTATTTCATTATATCCTAATTTCATTATTGATTTATTATTTATTATTAGTCCATTCTTATTTTTATTTGATATGAACTTAAAATATTTTTAAGATTATCATTCTATTTTTATCTATTTTTTCTTTAAAATTCAATTCATTCATAATCAAGATTCAAAGTTTTTAATTTTCTTGTTATGTTATTATCTTTTTAAAAATAACTTTATTCATTCAAATCATTCAGTAATTTAACATACGGCTAAGAAGAAAATGACATTTACAAATGTTAATTATTACTGCTAGTAATGGAAAAATCTAAAATAAATAAAAAACAATTAGTCAATTGTTAATAGAATTATTTTCTATTGTTCCTTGTTCATTGGAGACCAGTCCAGTCTCTGATTCTTTTTCTATCACATCTAATGAGTATATATTATGGTCTCCATAATGTTCTATATCATCCACCATGTTCTTAATTACAAGGTTTTTGACTTTTTTTATGATGCTTATTTCAATTTTTAATTCTTTTAGTAACTTATGTCTTCTGTGTTTATTACCTTATTGTTGAAAAAAAACTGTTAGGTTTATTTTATCATTTCTTCTTTATTCTCTCTGTTATTAATTTATTCTTATTTCTTTTCTTCAAATAACATCTATTATAGTTAACAATTTATTCTAAGTCAATCACCTGATTTATTGTTCTATTTATTATCTATTGCTTCTTTATAATCATTTCTTCTTATTCTTTATTTCTATATTTTTTCATTCTTGTAGTTTTATTTATTTTCATATCCATTGTTGATGTTATTATCATTGTTATATATTTGTTATCAATATCTTTTTTGATTCTCTGATTCTTTGTTAAATTTTTTACCATGTTAATGGCTGTTAATATTTTGTATTGTTATTCTTGTTGTGTGTTATTTATCTTTTTCTACTTGTTTTTATTATTCTATCTTAATGATATGTGTATTGATTTATCTTTCATTTCTTTTCTTTTCATAATCGTTCATTGACTCAGATGATATAATCATAATTATTTCTCATTCTTTTATTAATTTTAATATTAGTTATCATCATTTGTTTATCATTTTCTTTGTTCCATTGTAATTAGATTGAATGTTTTCATTTCTATTTCATTTTCATTTCTATCATTATTATGTGATATTATCATTAATTATGATGAGATGTTTTGTTATTTCTTATTTTTTATTATATTCTAATTTCTTGTTATTATTATTGTTATTTAAAACAATAAAAATGAAATGATGTTTATTATAATAATAAATAAAATGATGTGTTATAAATGTGTATTTAATTATTTAATCTTGTTATTTTGATCTGATAATTATTAAATTAAAATGGAATCAGTGATGAACAATCAATTAATTAAAGAAGTAGTAGAAACACTTCCAAATATTCAACAATCAATTGATGATACTACTAAACATTATCAATATTATTTAGGATGTATTAAAAATGAAATATTTGAGAAACAAGATAATGAAACATATGAACAAGCTATTAAAAGAGGAGAGGGAATATTTGATAGAATAGATGAAGTAGTTAGAAGAAGAAGAATAGTAATAGAAAAAGGACAAGAAACAATAAATAAAATAGAAACAATTAAGAATCAAATGAACAAAATAATAGAAGAATTTAATGATGATTCAGAAATAGTTAATAAAGCTAAGAATGAACTAATAGATAAAATCATTCATATGGAAGAAATGGATATGGAAGATAAAATTAAAAAATTAGAAGAAGAAATTAACAATATTAAAATAAGATTTAATAAAAAGAAAGAAGAATGGTTTACACAATACAGTGATTATTTAGAGAGGAAGATGAGAAAAGAAGAAGAAGAAGAAAGATTAAGAATAATGAAAGGAATGAATACAATTGAAGAAATGAAACAACTAGAAGAATGGACAAATAGAAAAGTATCTAATATATTATTTGATTCAGACATTGATGATTGGAATAAGAATACATCAGTATTTGATCAAAGAATAATAAATAAAGAACATATAATAATTATTATTGAAGATACAAATGGAAATAAATTTGGAGGATATGATAATGTGAAAATTGATAAATTTGGTTATATAAAAGATCCAAAATCATTTTTATTTTCATTAAAATCAAAAGGAAGAATAAAAGAAATGATGAAATTTGATATTAAACAACCACAACATGAATTTTGTTTATGTAATCAATCAGATGATTGTTTGTTTGGATTTGGATATGGAAATGATATTGTTGTTTATAAAGAAAATAATAAAACAAAATCATGGTGTAGACAACATTTATTTGAATATAAAGGAATATCAAATGCACTTTGTGGAAACGAATATTTCACACCAAAACGAATTATTGTAATTGAAATGAAATAATTTTTATTCATTATTGTTTATTTGAAATATAAAAACTAAAAAAGAATATAAAATAAAATCAATAAATGAATATGAACATTTCATCTATCAATAAATGAAATAATAAATATAAAAATGTTCATATTTCTTTCTTGTCTCATTTGAAATAATAATATTCAATGTGTTAATTTAATAAATAATAAAAAGAAATAAGAATAAAATATAAATAAAAAGTAAAAGAAAAGTTAATTAAGTATTAATAGAACTTGTGTCTATTGTTCCTGGCTCAGGGGAGACTAATCCCGTCCCTGAGTCTTCGTCTTGTAGTTCAACTACATATGTTTGGTTGTGATCTCCACAGTGCTCCATGACGTCCATCATGTTTTTAATTACAAGGTTTTTAATTTCTTTAGTGATGTCAATTTCGATTTTTAATTGTTTGATTAATTTAATACTTTCGGCATTTATTAGCCCATTAATCGAATTTACTACTGGAATTATTTTGACATCTTTTAATTTCTCTATTTTCATTAGCCTATTTTTCAATTCCTTATACATATTTCTTTTCTTCCAATAGGCTCCATTAATATTATGATCTGCCACAATAGTCATATCAATTATTAGACCAGTTTTATTCTTTTTATCTAGTACATATATGTCTGGTCTTTTATGATATAGTCCATCACTTTTTGGCATTATTTGTTTGTTCCATATCATAGTGATGTCATTGTATTGGAACACTGTTTCATATGGGGGTTTCTTGTATTGTTTATTTCCTGTGTATTTTCTTATTAACCCATATGATAATGCCAATATGGTCATGTTTCTCCATTTGTGATTTC